CTCTCTCTCTCTCTCTCTCTCTCTCTCTCTCTCTCTCTCTCTCTCTCTCTCTCTCTCTCTCTCTCTCTCTCTCTCCCTCCCTCCCTGTGTGTGTGTGTGTAAATGGCTTCATCCCGCATCGATGTCTCTCTCTCACTCAACTAGGCTGTGGCACCTTTCAGTGTTGACCACCTTACTCCATGCTCTGTGGCACAAGACCACAACAGTGCTTCTGCTGCGAGCTCAGATGGAGAATTTGTTGATGCCTTGCTGCCACTGGGCTTAGTACTTTTTTGCAGTTCCCAATCTTGTGACAACTTCTCTGGTACGCTACCGATCTTTGTTGTTCGCTGTGGTCAGCCTGCGACACATCCAGTAATTTCTCAGACTTTCATGGGACCAAGCTTCCAACTGGGTCTGAGTGATCGGCAGACGGGACTGACTGGACCGACAAACTTACCGGGTCCTATAGCTTCTATCTTACTCAACCGAACTACCCAAACCTTTTCGACAGGTACTATGGTACGTTCCTGTGACTTCGCTGTGGAGATGCATGAAGTCCTTTATGCGGAGATGCGTGAGAACATTATGACGCCATATATAATGGGAGAGTATTCTTGGGGCTTTCTCTCTGAGTTCTCCATTGGTGTATTGCATCCAACACTTCTCATGGCCCTCTCTATGCAGGTAACAACTTCTGTGAGATTCCTTGTTCTTTTTATTTTTTATTTTTTTTAAGATTCCTTGTTCAGGTAACAGCTCTTTTGGATTTAGTCAGACTAGATCACCTTAGTAGTAAGTGTTTGTCACAATCAATCTGATCTGGTCCAACATACAAACAGAGAGTCTGCTGTAGCAGTTTGTTATTCTAGGTAGGTGTCTACCTGACGACACAGTCAACTGCTATCCATAGACTTTCAGCAACTGCTGCCAGTGCTCCACTGTAACCTAACATCACTACCGCGAAGTATGTCAGAGGATGCTTGTTATCCTTCACCCTAATGCGTGAAGAATTTGCAGATAACTAAGGCTGACTTTGCTTCTTCTGGCAAATTCTGCATATTTGCTGAACCTGTATTGTTGACTTGATCGCCCCCTCTCCTGCGCTTGACTTTTGTAGCGATGAAGTCTATAGACACCGACTCTCAGGGTCCAGAGGGAATCGGTTTCGTTCTCAGCAGTCTAGGGGTGCTTAGGTCGTACTCTTGTCTCTCTGGCATACTTGGACCCTTGGATGTAATGAATGTAGTCAGATTTTATCCCTGCTCAGTGCTCACATGTAGGGGATCTAGGCATGTCTGTGTAGGTCTTCGTCCAATCGAAGTGACCTTCAACGTCCTACCGCCTTCACCCGAATAGAACACCCGGTCATTATCGCTCCATCTAGACAGAAAACTGCCCCAGATATGGCTATGATGACCGGGCGTTCTATTTGGGTGAAGACGGTAGCACTCTCCGAACAGTATGCTATGAATCTCCTTGTTGTCGGGAATGCATGTTTACACAATCGGAGATCAGAAATAGCAAACCATGAGCAACTCTATATCCGGGCCCTTTGTGAGGTGAGGTTTCTCCGCTACTCTAGCTATAATTTCTCACTGAGCACCTTATCATTTGCGTTGAGGTAAGTCACTATCATTTCAAAGAAGTCTGCTGTTTAGGGCAAGGCATTAGAACTTCATTGTACTTCCCTTAACCGTTGTACTTCCCTTAACCAGGCTACTCTAGCTATAATCTCAAAGTCAAACTCGTTCATGTCCTGTGCCTGTCTCGGTAACTTAGTGAACATTCTAAACTAGGTTGCCACACCAGTCCAGGGTCTCGTGGTCTGGGTACACTTCGACGTGCCTACCTAGAAGGTAATGCTGCCAACTCTGTAACACCCCTTGTAATGCATATGACTCTCAATTTTCTTTTTTTTTCCTTCTTTTTATTTTATAGAAAAACAGAACCTCACGGTTCTGGCTCCTACCATTCTAGGGAGCAACAGTCCGTTTCCTATTCCTCCGGCAAGTCAATGATGAATACAAAAAGGACACGCACACGCTCCTCCCCATTATGGTTAGGCAGCTGGAGTGGACGGTATTGATTACTTCCTCTTGGAAGGATGTACCACCCCTCATCCCTGCCTAAGTTAGCTTGCTTGACTTAAGTCAACCCTCCTACAGTTGAGTTAGGTCGTGCCAACTGTAGGAGGGTTGACTTCTGATACCTCTGTTTGTGGATTGTGGCTTATCTGCGGAGGTCTTGACTAGTTTACTCCTCTCAGCTGCTCGTGCAAGGAATATGAGTGTGAACGATATACAGAAAACCAAGTTGCGAAATCACACAGATGTCCAAGTAGTCGTGTCCAAGCAGAGCGTACAAATGCACCGAGAAACCATCCATATAGACCAATACAATGAAGTAATGAGCCAGTGGTCAAGCCGTAGGCCACACCAACACAGTATCCAAATTCGCTCCTCTCTGTCTGGCGCCCAGCGCCCATCCTACTCTACCCGACTATCCTACCTACAGCTGTGTTCACGCAACAGGCTCACTTCGACTCTCGAAGACCAATGTACATGACTGTCAACACCATAGCCGACCTCTCTTCATGCACCAGGTACGTATCTCCTCACCCTCAGTCAGACCTTGATAACCCCACACTCGCCTCCTTCCCTGAAGACCACCAGATCGCCCGCATTACCCCCTGGCACCCAGCAGCCCGGCTATGGTTGCCTGCATCCCCCTGCCCTGCAGCGCCCCACTTGACCTCCACGCGCCCCGTCAGCAGCACTTCCGCATTGCCTACGCAGGCCAGAATGCCTGGCCTGGGCTGCCTCACTTCTTTTATGGAATTGGCAGCCACTTGGATGCTGCGTGTGGCCTGGCTGGAAGCTTCCAGTAGCTTCCGGCTGGGCCTCAGTCCCTGCGGCCAGGCCCGAGACTACAGTTGAGGGCCTGGGCCCCATTTACAGTTGGGCACAGCCTGAGTCTCCGGACTTGGGCTGTATGCTGCATCTGTGCAGGGCTCTCAGGTAGGTGCATCGACAGTACTGCTTTTGCTTAGACCGATGGCCTGCTTCTCAATGTATCGGCCCTGCTTTGTGTGTATGCGCCCAGGCGCAACTGTCAAGGCCTGGGCCAACTGTACGACGCAGCTTAGTGAGGCTCACGCATCCATTCAACCAACTGGCGTGCTGCAAGAGCCTGAATACCCACATATGAAAATGTCGAATTTTGGCCTTTGACGAATATTCAGGCCCGCCTTCACTTACGGCGGGCACTTGGCTTGCTGGGGATCTTTGCCCAGAACATGTGATGTCTGTTAGGGCCCCGTGAGGGCTCGTTCCTCGCACTCGGCTGTCCGATCAGATTTAAGTGCTGGAGTTACTGTCTGTACTCATTGACTGTCGGTTTTGCTAAATAGAAAGAACCTTAGGGCTTCTAGCATTGATAATGGTTTGAACTTTTTCTGAAAGTCTGAAGCTGTGGAAAGCTTCTAAGACGTATTCCTTAAACCCTAAACCCTAACCCATAACTCTCTCTTACCCTCTATCTGTTTTTTCTGGGTTTTATGACAGTTTGATGTCGGGTAGGTCACCTTCTCTATTCGGTATTTCACTACTGACCCCCCCCTAGGATTCACTAGCCTGGCCCGTTCTTCTCGGGGAAATGTTGTTGATTTCCTGTGAAGCTAAATAAATGTTTCTATTTATTACTTTCTTGCTTAGGACCTAAAACCCTTGCTTGACAAAAAGTGTGAATTCGTT